CTAGTCTTACACTGTTAAATTAGGGACGGCTAGCGCAGATAGCCCTCGTGTAGCTTTGCTCGAAATTCAAAATAAACAAACAATATATTTTGGTAAATGTTTAAATGAAAATTGCGGCAGTAGTATCCGTGTATATTATGTTACTTTTAAATATACCGTCTACTCGCTCTGGAACTCGACCTTATGAATTTTGAAACAATTCTCAGTTTAAACTGAAGACTGAACAAGGCTTAAGAGGTTGCTGTGATGGAAATATGACAATAATTATGTATTAAATTATCTTTACAAGATATCGGTAAACACAACAAGCAACAATATGTTGTGAAAAACATAAATATTAAAACAAACCCTTACTCGAATCAAGTTATGCCTTCTTAGTCTTTAATCATATTGAAGTAAATTACTGGAGACGAAAACGTAAAATATTTAGATTCCAAGCTGTGGCGTCTTTCAGGAAACGCTTCTTTACACCAGCAGTTTTTTGTTCAAAGTTCTGTATAGAAGGTTTCACGCTAACGAACTTTCTAGAGTATAAGAAACCTATAAACTTAGTATTACAAAAGAAGTTTGAATTTTACCTATGTTTTAAGTTTTCTTATGCTTATGTTACATCTCTTCCAAATTATTAAAACTATATGCTGTTCTAATATATATATATATTCATTGCTCTGTTATTAAGTGCTTGTTTAAAGTTTTTTACTATATTGTAGTGTCTGTTTTCTTGAGAGGGCAAACACATTTATCATTTCTATTCTAAAGCAGAAAATTTTATTTTCTTATGACTGAAATATTTATACAGCAAAATTTTCAATAATTTTACCGCATTAGTATTTTGTAGCTCTTCTGCAAGTAACCGGTGTTTTATATACCAATGTTCGTAGGTCCAGATGACGCTATTTACCATTATAACAAAACAAATGAAGAACAAAGTCTGACACATTTCAGAAATGTATTAAGCTCTCAGAATACTTCACTTACCGAATCAAGAAATTACCATATATCCAGGAATTATCAGCATCAGTATGGCCTCTCTACAAACGTTGTCAGTTTTACTCCATCAGGGTCTTCAGCGAGTCCTTCTCCTGATCTTTCTGGAATTGGCCCTTTTATTTGCCCTCACCGGGACTTGTCTAGAGATTCTAAGGAAGATCCCGATACCAGCTGTGAAATTCCAGAAGAGAATACTTCTAAGCCAAAGATTTGGTCATTGGCAGACACTGCAACAAACAAAAGCCCTCAACCACATTTGCAAAGTCCTTTCATACCAGGAGTTCAAGATTGTTCAGGATCTAGATCTTGGGTCACTTCTGGTGTTGATTACAACACAGGTAGGTCTGGAGAAACCATAGCCAATCCCTATGATAAAATGCCTGGTTTCTTCTCAAGCAGCGTTTATACAGATTGCAATACCTCTTCACAACCATCCTCAAAACCAATAGTCTACAACGGAGGAGCTCCCACTTTCAGCCCTCTTCCTCCTCATGCTGACACTCCACCCGAGACACCACCAAATATAAAATTTTCATGCAGTGTTCCACTCTACCTAGGATATTCTGCAGCCAACAACTATATGACAACTCAGCATGTTACTACCCAGTCCTACCTAACGCATGGAATGACATCGTCAGAAGGCACCAGTACAAATAACCTTTCGCACATCACAGGTGATTGGTACTTAATTACATTTTCCACATATTTATAAAGTTATTCACTTATGAAATTTACAACTAAGTTCGTGTGAATACTTATTACTAACCACAATATTTATGTGTGTGTCAAATCTATACAAATGGCTAACAAATGTGTCATTAAATAATTCAGTGTTTCAAATGTAACTGATCTTATTTATATATTGTTAACTATTCTTGTGTGAAACAGCACTTTGAATGATATTATTGAAAATTACAGTAAATACAGAAGCGTATGTAAAACACCAAAAGCTAATTCGGCTTATACACCGTATTCTTATTTTACTTTCCATCCTTGTCTTCTATAGGAATGTCCTGTACATGCATGACATTGGAATATGTGTTTCATAGATGGAGTTGCATCTTATTGGAGTGACTAAGCTTCAATTAAAGCAGTTTGACAAAACAAAGAAAAACGAATCAAATTATTGATCTAACCTGTTTATTTTTCTCTTCTGTTTTCTACATTAAAACACTGTACTCTTCCATATAAATTTCTTTCCGTGCATCAGAAGATATACATACACTCAACAGCCTAGTGATAGCAGTTATTTCAACTTTGTACTCAAGTGTACTTGCTCGTCTATTTAGCGTTTTCTGTTGCTATGCGACTATCAGGTGTTTCTAAAGAGAAGGAATGTCTATACCGCGTGGCCATTTTGAGCGAACTCATACATTTCATTATAATGAAACTAAGCTTTCTTTCTAGTATAAAAATAATGTATATACAAATCTATGTATTATAAATATATGTGTTTCTTAATGATTCGTTCCAGTATCTATACAATCTCTAGATGTATCTGTTATGCCTATCAAATATAATTATGTTCTAGGTTTAAAAAAAAACAACAGACAAAACCTTATTCACATATATCAACCCGGCATGGCCAGGTGGTTAGGGCGCTCGACTCGCAGTCTGACGGTCGCGGCTTCGAATCCCCGTTCCACCAAACATACATAACTTTCAGCAGTGAGGGCGTTATAATATGACTGTCAATCCCACTATTCATTGGCAAAAAGAGTAGTCCCAGAGTTGGCGGTGGGTGGTGATGACTAGCTGCCTTTCCTCTAGTCTTACACTGTTAAATTAGGAACGGCTAGCGAAGGTAGCTCTCGTGTAGCTTTGCGCAAAATTCAAAACAAACAAACACATATATCATGGAAATAATCTGAATGTAATCTGTAAACATATTCTGTTGAATTATAAAATAATTTCTGAAGAATATTTTTACAATGAAGGAAATAAAACAAATAAAACCTATCTATGTAAATATAATAGTACTGTCTGTTGTATGTTGTATGTCCATGTAACTACTTCGCAAAGTATGGATGGATCTTCACCAAAATTGGTATCGAGGTTCATTGAGACCATGGAGAGATACATACAAATTTTTCGTTTTATATTTTGTTTTTGCGGTTTTTGTGAGCGTTTAAGCGTTTTTCACCACTACTTTGCTCACTGTATATGGATGTTTACTAAATTAAGTATGAAGGTTTATTGGGTCCATGGAGAGAAACATACAAATTTTAAATTTTGCATTTTGCGGTTTTTCTAGGTGTTTTTGCGTTTTCGCGTTTATTAATGCTACTTCGCCCCCTGTTGATGGATATTCACCATTAATATTTGGCATGAATGTTTGCGGAGATACACGCAAAGCTGCGATTTCACATTTTGTGTTTTGCAGTTTTATGGGCGTTCTTTACAATTACGTATAGGGGAAGCAACCTTTCATGTCCTAAGATAACTGCCCCCAAAGCTATAAACCGGGTTTCGATGCCCGTGGTGGGCAGACACAGATAGCCCATTATGTAGCTTTGTGCTCAATTTCAAACAAACAAACACACCTAAGATAACCTTTCATTAATAATGAAATTACATCACTTCCGTCCAGGGGACGGATCCTTCAGCTAGTTATTAAATAATCTTTGATATATGTACCTGTTACCGAAAAAGTTTAATTTAATTTGTTAAAATGTTTTAAGTTAGTTCATTTATAGGCAACTAATTGTTTTGGTCAATGGACGAAAAGCTCACGTGTTGAGTCCTTTCTGCAGATCCTAACGGACACACGAGGACATGCGTCCGTAAATTTACCTATTGCACCAAGAGATTTTCTTGTATATTTTAATGCTAATTTGTTCGCTATTACCACAATGGTTTAATAATAATTGTCTGCTTACACACGTTTCTATGTATTTATTTTGTTTTTGTTTTCAGGTGATAAGCTCGGCAATGTTTACTCAATGAACTACGTAGGGTCATCTTCCTATAGACCAGACTGTGTTATAAACGGCTATTACGACCATTGAAAGCCTGCTAAAACTTGCATGAGCAAAAATGTTTGTCAAATCAAGAGCTACATGAAAGACTGATTTCAAGAACCATATAATCAAGCTAGTTGCACTGTGTTGTTCATTTACTTACCAAAGCCCTTAGACAAGCGGATATTTGTCGTCATTACACGTTTTTTTTTGAAGCTTACACATTTGAGACTTAAGAAATTCATCTTTTTTCAGTGCTGTCTTATAGAATATAGTGTATATATAGCCTAACTGGTAAATATATAGATAAAATGTTGCAATGTTTGATCTCTTTCTGAATTAATTAGAAACTTGTGATGTGTTTGAACGATAATTACTTTCAGCTCTTTCTTAATTTTTATTAAATTAGTATATAATGTTTAAAACCAATATGTGTCACTGGTTAAAAGTTTTAAAACTTTTATTGAGTTGCATATTTAAAATATCTTTTAAAGGTATAGAAAAAACACGGTAAATAATTTCTTGACTTAATTTATTCGATTAGGTTTTCTGCTATTAAAAATTAAATGATGTAACGTATCACGTTTTATAAAATTTACTTTAAGAATACACTTATAGTGAAATAGTGCGTTAATTACGATGGAATAGATGTAAGTTTTATATTCCTGCACTTTATATTTTTTGTTCTTCACTTTTTAATCACCCAGATGGAGATTCGGCATTATAGTCAATAACTAAATATATATTTTAGAATTAAACCTCGGCTTCGAATATTGTATATCCCGGAAACATTTTTCTTATTCAGTTTTTAGTAATAAATGAACTTGTGAGAATGAGCCTTCAGTAATTCACAATTGTTTTTTAAGTGTTGTTTTCCAGGTTTAAAATATTAAGACTGATGTTTTAGGACATATTTGATTGTGTGTGCGTGCGTTCGTATAATTTCATGCGAAAACCCAGAAGGAATTGTGATTAATTTTTTCAAAATACAAAAAAAAGAAGATAGAAATGCACCTAGTATGGATACTTCTGTATGATGAACTGTTTATCTAATCTAAAACTATGTTTTGCTTATGTTATATGTTTTTGTTTTGTTTTCACTGCTTCTTAATATTACTTAACCCTTTCCTGTCTTTAATCAGTCTGGAGTCCTTATAGATTTAAGTATATTTTCATCTTTGTTATAATTTCTATCTACTAAAAGAATTTCAGTTTCTGAAATATGGCTTATGCAGACGTGAAACTCTCTGGCTGTATGTAGCATAGTAATATTAGTGTATATGTGTGTTTGCTTATTTCAATAATTACTTATAATGGGAATTAAAGTTTTAATTTTTAGTAAGACACTTTGTTTTCGGAGAACCCTGCAAGAAAGTAACTTGCTATAAGAGCAGAAATTTTATTCATAGTAGGCTCTCCGAATCAAAGTTAGATATAAACATTAAAATTTTGAAATATTTATTCAGACTATCTAAACAAATTGAAAATTTGGCATTTCAGAATATTCTTAACTTTTTAATTTACCACAAATAATGCCCTATTTAAATGAAAATCACATATTATTTAATTATTGTACATTTGAACTACTCTGCACAATGCGACATCCAATTTGTTCAGGCATTTTTTTATTTTTTTGCAGACAAATGATATAAAATATTAATAATTGTATAATTCAAATGTAAAAGACAGCTGTCTTGAAAGCGAGGTATTTCGTTTGAAGTATAAGTTGGACATCACTGTAAAAAAATGACGGTTTGATCAAAATATGTTTTACTTGGTGTGAAATAATCATTAATTTTTCTAAGAGTTTAACATACTTAGCGTTAACAAGTTTCCTTCGATTGAAATAACTGGACTCAGAATTATAACGTTTGTGGCGTTTTAAATGTTGAATTATTTTCAGACTGTTACTGCATTATAAATTAATAAATTGTGCAAATGTGGCTAAACCTATATGAAAACAAATTGTTTGTAAGATATTAAAATAACATCTAAAAATTATTATAAAGCCCTTCTCATTTAGAAATCACGTGCAATGTAATTATAGAACTAGTTATCTCAATTATAATCATTACAAAGACACTTCAAGTCATCAGCGTATCAACCGTTGTCAGTGTATTTTTTTCAGATAATCTGTATATTATATTATACCTTTTGAAATAGGCTAATTTGATTATTTGCAAATGTAACTTTCAAAGAACAAATAGAAAATAGCTAAATATGAAATTAACTAAAAACTATTTTTAATGATGATTAGAATTTAATGATTCATAATACTAAAGAATCAAAACTTTACGCGTGTTTTTAGATCTCGTGTATCGTAATGTATATTCATATTTTACTATTAAGCTTAACAGGGTATTCCACTTCATATATATGTGAAACTTTTTTGACAACTAGTTTTATGTTTTGAAAATGTAATAGTTTGGAAAATATTACTTATAAATAAAAGATATACATTAAGAATCAAACCGTAACACACAATTTAGCGTGACTTAATGACCTGACCACTCTCTCTAATGCAGAAGAGTTCCATATTAGGATTACAGATCAATAGAAATTTACCTATCTTCAGTTTTCCCTCTACATATAGTTAGATATATATATACGTTTTGAAACGAAGCAATATCTCATTTCTTCAGACTAGTTTTAATCCCCTGTGTGATAAAACTGAAAAAAAAAAACATCTAGCTAATAAATATAGCGAAATTTTTAAGAATCCGTTGGTGTACAAAATCTTGATCACCAGTGAATATTTGGAATCTCGACTGACAAACGAATAACATCAATCTAAAAAAAGGATCGTTTTTATAACCATTGGAATAATAACCCTACCTTACAAATTAACGCTCTTTGTAATCAACGTAATGTAAAAGCAACATACATATATATATAAGTATGGCAAATTTTTTAAATAAGATTAATTATTTCATTAATAAGTTTTCTTTGTAATGATCAATTCAACAGTTCTTTAATATTCAGGTTTAACAACACTCTAATAAAAATTGCTAAACTAATTTAGGCTTTTTTCAGATGGTCTCCATTATCCGCGTATGTTTTTTTACATACTTTTGTAATGCATGCACTGTTGCTTCGTATGTTATGAAATGTATAGTGATGTTTGTAACGTATGCCGCTTTTTCTATTATCACACTGCAACAAAGCTTAATTGGTTTTTTTACTATATTCAGTGTTGACGTATTTAGAAACATTCATCTTTCCATAAACATTCGCATTCTTTATGACTATTGAATTTAGTGTAGTAATTTTTTGCAAATTTCCATGAGTTTTGTGATGGGTCTAAAATGTTAGTTTTAAATATCTTCTAAGCTAATTCTTCAGGATCCCTTTACAGTCTGTGATAGCCCTCTTTAATACAATTAAAGCAATGTCTTGTTGGAACTTGTGCACTTTCAGGAAGGTATCTTGGAATGAATGTACATATTTTATGAAATAGAGATAAGTATATATATATATACATATATCATAGAGTGTATTCTGTGCATTTTTACTGTATATATTTCGTGGTATTTAAATAAACATCCATTTACCTACTCTATTAGTGTTCATTTTGTAATTTACGTGATTTACTTAATCTATTAAACACCTTTTTTTCAGTATATTCTTCTTAAGTATCTGACAGAAGATTATTTCATATTTTATAAATAATTTGCGTCATAAGAAATGTCAATAATGTAGAAAATATTCTATGCATTACATTTTAACTTTCAAGGAATTCTTCAAAAATATCATATTCAAAAACGTTCTAAAGATTAAGTTGTAGAAAATAAAAAACTAAAGAAACACAATTAACATGGAGCGGCAAATATCACGCAATAACTAATAAAAAGTTTAAACTTAAGAACGTTATCAGCATATTTGATCAGAGTTAATTTGCACTCGTAATGGAACGCTCATTTTTTTCTTGAACTTAAAATCAAATATGGATTCGATCATGTTAAATGTGTCACTGGTACAAATCTACAAGATATTAAAACGGAATACAGACTGATAGTGGATCTTTCTTCGCAAGCACAAATTGACTTGTTGTTTGTTATTCGATACATTTTGAAAAGTACTTTCTTTACTGCGTATTTTACAGTGAATAATAAAGTGGTAAATAAGTCTGTGATACATATATATAAGAAAGATGAAATAGATACCAAGTTATATTATTAAATTTTGAACTGATGTTGTTATTTTATCTCAAACTACATAATAGACTATCTGCGCTCTGTCCAACGCAGATTTTAGTATTTTAGGTGCGTTAACTTACCGTTTATTCATTGGCTGAGAAATGTTGAACTAGAAAACGGGTAATATAGCTTATTTACATTATAACCACATTAGTTAACCTACTATTTACCTTGAAATATAATACAGTTTTGCATACCCAGTAAATGGACGTCACCAAACTTTTTCTTTATTAAATAGTCTAAACATCTTACATGTATACTTTGGTGACAGATTTTCTTGTAGGCAGATTTTGTTAAACAAAATCTGCCTACATCTTACATGGTACATAAAGATGGTAAAGAATTACTCTCAAGAAGTAATTTCCTTTTACTTAGGCACATGACAACAGTACGTGTATGCAAACACGACTTATTAATAACCTGTTGGATACCTTAACAAATTTGAATTTTCCTCAGATTTCCGAGATAAAGGTGATATTACGTCATACTTGACCTTCTAGCTATTTTCCCTTGAATGCTTGGTTGTTGTTGCTAAGCCCAAAGCTACAAAATGGGCTATCCATGCTCAGTCTACCAGGGGTATCGAAATCCGATTTTTATTGTTATGAGTCGTCAGAGGACCCGCTTGAACTTTCTTTAAGTTTATGTTGTTTTGTGAAAATCTATAACAACTGTACTTAATTATCTAAATCCCTACTTGTGTGAGTACAATAGTATGGCACCTAGCACATGTCTTCATTGGTGAGTTTACGAACTTACAATACTAAAATCAGGTACAGAGCGCAGATACCCCATTTTGTAGCATTGCAGGACGTAAAACCCACTATGATTCCAAACAGTTATGAGTGAATCAATTTGAACAATGTTCCTCGTATGACAAACAGTGGAACTGTATCAATATGTAGATAACTCTAATTTTAGATGTTTTTAATAGCCTTATAAAAAATAAGTACTATTAAATGATTGGCTAGCATTAATTAAGAACTGAATAGTAGTGGTAACTTGAAAATGTCGTATCGAATAAAATAAAGTGAGAATTATACCACTAGGGACATAAAAGTTAAAATCTTCTATGTTATAGTATACGTACAACTTTGTCATTCTTCTGAAGATTG